ACCAGAAGGTCCCTGCTTCCATTTTATGGTCTTTAAGTCACCTCACAAATTTGTTTTGATTTTCAAAAAGAGGTTAAAAGCTGCAGTTTAGATCCCAAACTCACGTGGGAGATAGGAGGCATTTCTTTTTCTTTTTAGGAAATAAGATTATAGCTTATGTTTGTGGCTAAATCAGGACTATTATGCATTAAATCAGATTAAAGAACGAATGAGAATGAACTGACTGACTCTTTACAGGCATCTGTGACCCCATTTTTTTTCTTTTTTCCATCCTAATCTAGGGTCCACGTCGGATTCTTGATGAGGAGGTGACGGTCCGGCTGTCGTCCTGCAGTGACACCATCATTTTACAGACTCCACCTGTGCCCCCGCGCTCTGGACGCGCCCCGACTGGTACTCTTCGTTTAAAACATGCCTTTGATTGCCTTTATTATTCATGCAGAAAGAACTGGTGAAAGTTAAGGTGTTAAATTTTGTGTTTGTAGGAGAGATATTCTAAAGAAAATCTCTCTATGTACATTTATCCTTGACTGATTCCTGCTGTTTTCCTCAGGTCCCGTGAACGCTGACCCTCACTATGAGAGAATTTTCCTGTTGGACCCTCAGTACCAGAACCCAGCGGTGCTGAGAAACAAACTTCCAGAGCTGTCGCAGAGCGCAGAGGCATCTGGTAAACACCTTCAACGATGAAGTCGATGCAGGCGTTCATTTAAGAATTAGTGAAAAAGACACAAGTTGAGAAATAGCAGAAAGTCCTTCGAACGCTGCGTCATGACGTTTGTCTTTGAGTGACCGTTTCATAACCATGCGTTTAGGCTTGTAGTCGGAATTTGTGTTAAGAATCACCGATGCCTCAGAGATGTTCCAGATCTATCCAATATGACATGATTAATCACAGCTGTAGAGGAAAAAAGGTGGAAAGCCTTTCAATAAGAGAGACTGCTGCCTCCTGGTGGCGATGTCCGTAATTTCAAACAAACTCTACAAACTTCAAGCATCCATCAAAGTTCTGATCTTCTGTCACTCATTAACAGCTCCTCAACCTGTTTCTCTCCAGTTTATTTACTTCAGAACGTGTTAAATAAGCTCTTTTTTCTCCCTTTTTCTCTCTATTTAAGTTTCCCAGATGAAGTTGAACATGCATGCTCGTTCATACTTATCCTGCAGTGCTTCTCTCCTTTTTCTCTCGGCTCTCTACGCCTCTTTTCCAAGTTTCCTCTTCTTCCAGCTCTCCTCCTTGGTAGTCCTCTCTATGACCTCCTCCTGCTGACTTCCTGTCATATGACATCAGGATGGCTTCGTGGTAAGAGTTGAAAGGTGTGACTTCATGCAGTTAATCAGATCACACATACTTAAGTGAAATCAAGTGAAGTTTGGAATTTTATTTTTATTTTTATTTTTCAATTCTTTTCCTTCTATGAATCATCTTATGACCTCTCATGACCTCCTGGAGGGGACCTAACCCTGAGAGGTTGGGATATCCTGGATTGAAAAAACAAATTCAAACTAGTAAAACTTCAGTCAGCAAGTAGAATAATGGTACAAGTAAAATGATGAAGATTTACTGCTTTTACTTTGGATAGAAAACTAGAAATTAACAGTAATTTAACGTTTTTACTATAATCTTGTGCTGTTGGTACTTTTCAGTAAGCTTCACTTAATTTTTTATTTATATTAGACATCAATTAAAAAAGCGCTTGTCTTTCCAACAGCATGTGGAGGCGGCTACGCCGAGCCAGACATCACCCAGTGCACGCCGCACCAGTGTTTCCACAGCAATGCGCCACACTACGCTGAGACGGACATCGTGCGGCTGCAGGGCGTCACTGGCAGCAACATGTACGCCGTCCCCGCCCTCACCGTGGACTCTCTCACCAGGAAGGACATCTCCGCTGCCGAGTTTCCTCGGCAACAGCTGATCTTCAGGGAGAAGCTGGGGGAGGGGCAGTTTGGCGAGGTGAGCTCGTGGGAGGTTTCGTGGGCTGCAAAGTAGGGATGCAAC